CCTCCCTTAAGTCAATGTGCCCTGACCTGACTAGGTTGGGTGCATTGGCTTAAGCCGGTAGGAGACTTGACCTGCCTCGCATGGGCCAGTAGGCCTTCTGCAGTGTTCCTTCGTTCTTATGTTCTTAGTTCTTTTTATCCCCCTGCTTTTAACATTTCTGTCATGATCCCGTCAGTTCCAGCTACTTTACCCCCTTTCATTTTTACATAATGCTTCACACACCTCCCCCCCCACTCACATCCTGTTCTTCATTCCTAAAAAATGATATACCTCCCTGGCCAGTGCATGAAATTACAACCTCCCTTTCTTCATTGACATTTAAAATTTTCCTCAAAATATTCTCGCCATCTACCCAAAACCTCCCTCCCCCCCATCTACTAACTCCCCTACTCTATTTTTAACTGACAAATCCATTCATTCCCTAGCTTTCTTAACTTGTTTAACTCCAATTTTTTTTTCTTATTTTCATTAAAATTTCTTGACAGTGCCTCTCCCACTATCATCTGCTCTCCTTTTGCACTCTCTTCACCTTTTTTTTTTCTCTCCATATACTCCACTCTTTTTAAAAAAAACCCTTCTGTTTTGTAAAAACCTCTCATAAGCTAACTTTTTCTCTTTTATCACACCCTTTACTTCATCATTCCACCAATTTACTCCTCTTTCCTCCTGCCCCCACCGTCCTATAACCACAACTTCTGCCCCACATTCTAATACTGTATTTTTAAAACTTTTCCCAACCCTCTTCAACCTCCCCACTACTCATATTTGCACCAGCCCACCTTTCTGCCAATAATTGCTTATATCTCACCCAAACTTCCTCCTCCCTTAGTTTATACACTTTCACCTCCCTCTTACTTGTTGTTGCCATTTTCCTCTTTTCCCATGTACTTCTTACTCTAACTGCAGCTACAACTAAATAATGATCCGATATATCAGTTGCCCCTCTATAAACGTGTACATCCTGGAGCTTACCCATCGACCTTTTATCCACCAATACATAATCTAACAAACTACTTTCGTTATGTGCTATATCATACCTTGTACAGTATATTTATGTATCCTCTTCTTCATAAAATATGTATTACTTATTACCAAACCTCTTTCTACACAGCTCAATTAAAGGCTCCCCATTTTCATTTACCCCTGGCACCCCAAATTTACCTACTACTCCCTCCACAACATTTTTGCCCACTTCTCTCTTCTCCTGGTGCATATACGCTTACTATATAGGATTTAATTGCATACTTTGCTATGTACAGTCTCGGATGAAAAATCTAACTAAAGCAATTAATTCACGACTTTAACCATTTCGTAATATCCTGATAATCCCTCTTTAATTTACATACTTTGTACAGTTTCTTCTCCTTGCACTAATACATGAGTAAATGAAACACCTGGAAATATACATATTCTTTTTTCTTTTATTTTATATTGCAAAGATAATGACACAACCAGTTATTGTTCCAAGTATGTCATGCATATTAGCATTCTCAACAACTGTAAAGTACAGTATATGAAAAATGTGCCAAATATATTTCTTAAATTCATTGTATGAAGGTAACTTTTGTCTTCTAAAGACACTTATCTATTTACAAAGAATGTTATGTAATTTTAATAATAAAAAAAAGGGCAGTTGGTTTATGATTTAAAGGGTTTGCCAAAAGAAAACATGTGATACTACTTAACATAAAGCATAAGGTGGGAGGTAATTATAATAGTTGTTTACTTTGTGCAGGAAAACAAAACAGGTCAGCCAATATTTACACTTACAATTTAGGCCATGTGAATTTTTGACAAAGATAAATAATAATACCTCGTGTATTACACTGTGCACCAGGACTGCAAACCACAGCCCTGGATTATATTTTATATATGTATTACAATCTATGTCTATATTAATACAGAAATAAAGGTTTAGGTTTCTACATTTGCTTTATATGTTTCTACTAAGTATAAAAGATAATGTATTGCATGATAGTTGTAGTTTGGTCTCCAGACTCATGTTTATTATATAAAAAGTTGCTGCTTACATATAATCAATAAGTGTTAATGCTTTCCTTCTCTGTAATTCATTTATGATTTTATTTTAATGTCAAAGATATCACATTCCTTAAGACATGGATGGGGCAATGAGCACTCAAGTCACATTTATTATTATTATAATCAAAAAGAAGCGCTAAGCCACAAGGGCTATACAGCGCTGCAGGGTAGGGAAGGAAGCGAGGGTATTGGATGGCAGAAGGGAGGAGGGATGATCAGTAGGTTACAGAAAACAGCGGGGCAGAGGATAGTACGGGGGTAGAGGGCAGCAAGAGATTGAAGTAGAAAGGGCTGAAGGTATCAGAATTTGTGAAGTCAGTTGTTGTCAAAAAGTCAATGAGAGAGTCCGGATGAAAGGTGGGTCCATCAGCGAGAAGGGAAGGTAAAGAGAGGGGCACGGAGCGAAGACGACGACGGAGGTAAATCTGCGTGCTCGTTGATAAAGTGGGCAGTCCAACAGAATGTGGCTGACTGATAATGGAGCTTGGCAATTCTCACAGAGGGGAAAGCAGGGCGCCTCTCCATGAGATATCCATGAGTAAGACGAGTATGGCCATGCGAAGACAGGAGAGAGTAGTCTCCCAACCTCGACACTGGTGATAAGAAGAGGGCCCAGTAACCTATACTTGGTTTAATAGATTGAAGTTTGTTGCCGAGCATATTAGACCAACGGTGTTGCCAAACGGGTGTGAAGGTGGGAAGATATTGCAGCAAATGGTCCGTAAATGGAATACCTCTATATGAAACTGGTAGGTCATGTACTGCTGACTGCGCAGCAGTGCCCCTGCCTGTTCATTGCCCTGTACGTCAACATGACCAGGGACCCAACAAAAAACAATTTTCTTTATGCTTGGTAAAGATGCGGCATAGCCAAAGTTGGATACGGAGGACTAAGGGTGAGGTGTATCAAATTTCTGTATAGCCTGTAAAGCACTAAGGGAGTCTGAGACAACCAAAAATGATGACACAAGCATAGATGCAATAGGGGAATAAGTGCTGAAAGGGAGGGCCCATACAATTCAGCAGTAAAAATTTTTTACTAGCCAAAGATAGTAAATCCCCTCGTACGACGCTGTCCGGAAACACTGCTGCGAAACCTACGCCGTCAGAAAACTTAGAGCCATCTGTGTACACAGCAATGGCATGAGAATGAGAGTGAAAGTGGTCAAGAAAGAGAGAGCGGGGAAAACGACCGTAGACAGTTTTGGGGTTTCGAGCAAGGGAGAGAGAAAGAAAAGACTCGACAGCTGGAACTTCCCAGGGGGGGGAGGGAAAAGTGAGATTTCTACATGAACATAAAAGGTGGTAATTGAAAGAGACAAGAGCGAATGAAGGCGAAGAGAGAAGGGACAGAGTAAACGGGGCGGCGAACAAATAAAGAATGTCTACTAATATCAGTGACCATTCTATAAATGGAAGGATTTCGGAGGGCCATGAGAGCATACATAGTAGCGAAGGCAATGGGCATCACGGCGATCGATAAGGATGGAACGTTCGCTTCTGCATAGAGGCTCTCGACAGGGAAGAGCGAAAAGCACCAAGGCATAAACGTAATCCTGGTGATGAATGGGGTTAAGGCTAAAGAGTAGCAGGAGATGCCGCTGAATAGATCTGGTCACCATAATCAAGTTCGATAAAATAAGGGTGGAATGTAGGCGAAGGAGGGTTCGACGATCAGCTCCCCATGAAAGATGAGCAAGGGGGTTTAAGAAGGTTCAGCCGGCTGTGACAAGTTGCCTTCAGAGAGGTAATGTGAGGTTTCCAGGAAAAGCCTACGATCAAAGAGGAGGCCCAGAAAATTGACTGTATCACTTTCAGGGGTATGGAGCCATAGAGGTACAAAGGATGATTTGATGATGACAGAGCGTCTAGTGAAAGTAATTTTTGGGGGTTTTAGTGCTGGAAATTTAAACCCACGTGTGGTGGCCCAATTGGAAACACGGTTGACTGAATGCTGGAGGGGAAACTGTAATGAGGTGACAGTCAGCGCCTGCACAGGCAATAGCGAAGTCATCAACATAGAGTGATGACCAAATATTTGATGGAAGACTAGAGGCCAAGTCATTAGCAAGGAGAAAAAGTGTTGTGCTCAGAACACATCCCTGGGGGACACCTTCAGCTTGGATAAAGTCCGGGAAGAGCACATTATTAACCCGAACACGGAAATGCCTGTCAGTTAAAAAGTTCTTAAGGAAGGATGGTAGATTGCCTCGAAGGCCTAAGGAAATGGGCCCTTTGGGCTAAAATATTATACCTCCAAGTTGTGTCATATGCCTTCTCAAGGTCAAAAAATATGGAATAACTGAGTGGTTTATTCGCAAAGGCATTACGAACATACGTATCCAAGCGTAGTAAGGGGTCTATGGTAGAACGTCCCTTACGAAAGCCATATTGACGAGTGGAGAGACTGTCGTGTGTCTCTAAATACCACACTAAACGTCTATTTACTAGGCGTTCCACCACTTTGCAAACTGCACTGGTAAGAGCAATGGACGATAGTGGGAGGTTCATGTCCCGTAGTGCCTGGTTTGCTGAAAGGGAGAACAAAGCGGATTTCCACAGCTGTGGAAGAACTCCTTGTGACCAAATAAGATTGTAAAGGCGAATAGGACTGCAAAGGGCTGACTGATGTAAATGTTGTAGCATAGAATATGAATCTCGTCAGGCCCAGCTGCCGATGATCGGCAAGCTGAGAGTGTTGCCTCCAGTTCTTGAAGTGTAAAAGGCACATTATACTGTTCTTTTCTGAGAGAAGAAAAGTCCAAGGGTGCTAACTCTCTGGCAGACTTTGAGGAAAGAAATGAGTGGCATAAATGGAGTCCCTGAGAAATACGGACCAGATGATTGCCAGTTTCATTGGCAACATCTAGTGGGTTTGCTATATCAACACCGGAACCCGCAGAACAGGAGCCGGGTCAGGAGAATAAATTTACCACTCCCGTTTTCGTACTTTTTTCCAGACTGCACTCATAGAGGAAGCAGAGGTGATGGTGGAGACATAATCTCGCCAGCAAGTGCATTTAGCGTCACGGATGACACGGCGAGCGAGCGCACGCTTCTGCTTAAAATCAAGAAGTCTCTCTGTGGTTCTATTGTACCGGTACCTGCCCCATGCAGCGCGTTTCAAACGTACTGCACGAGCACAAGCAGGAGACCACCAAGGCACGCATTTCTGAGAATGCCTGCCCGAAGTTTGGGGTATAGAATGAGAAGCTGCGGTTAAAACGGAGGACTAGAAGAGGTGTAAAAGCTCATCGATGGAGGACGAAGAAGGAACCTCCTAAAAACAGTTAGGTGTGAGTAAAGGTTTTCCAAAATTTGCCCGATCAAATTGCCAGCGTGGGATGCGAAGAGGTGTGAATATGAAGGGGGGTAAGAATGATTGGGAAATGATCGCTGTCATGTAAGTCCGGGAGAACAGACCAAGTGAAGTCTAATGCGGTAGAGGAAGAGCAGACTGAGAGATCGATGCAAGAGAGAGTGAGTCCGAGGATCAAAATGGGTGTGAGTACCTGTATTTAAAACATGGAGGGGGTGGGTGGCAAGAAAAGCCTCTAACTGAATGCCACAGGAATCACAGTGAGACTCCCCCCCAGAGGAAATGGTGGGCATTAAAATCACCAAGTAACAGAATCGGTGGCGGTAATGACGAAACAAGAAAGGCAATATTCGGAATAGATAATGCCCGAGAAGGAGAGAGATATAAAGAACAGAGCGTATACCACCTATGCAAGTGGATACGAGCTGCTGTGTAATGCAGTGAAGTACGAACAAATAGCTGATGGTACGGAATATCAGTGCGTAGAAGGGCACTTTCATTAAAGGTCCCATCAGGGAAAAGGATCTGAAGAATATAATAAATTATAGCCTGAGATGGGAGAGATAACAGCAGAGTGTAATTTTGGTTCCTGTAAGCAAACACCAACAGGGGAAAACTGGAGAGTAACATCTGAACTCACCCCTCAAGTCACATTAGAATGCCTGCAAACATTGTCACTGTAATTACTCTTTACTGTTCCTGTAATACAGTATGTCTATTTTTATTCTGTTTAGCATGCATAAAAAAAATGTATGTATACATAGGTTAAATAACACATGTTCTGAATTATATTAGTCCTGTTGTCTTTCATAAAGTCAAAACACTTATCTGTATATTAGTATTATACTGTAATTGTAATATCAGCACATGTTAATATTACATCCACTCTTACATTGATGATTGACTTTAAACTTTGCACTCTCCCTCATGTTCCACTCATCTTTTGTGTTATAGTCAAATCCTCCTATGGCTGATCTCAGTTTCATCTCTGTGAGACAATTGTAAATTAATCAAATTAAATTTTGTTAAAGCATAGCTTCTTGCCTGTTACATTAAAGAAAATGTAGATTACAAACAAACATTTTATTAAAAATTATTGTTGGATGTTTCAGTATTATGTCACCATTACAATCATGTTTTGAAAACCTCTCATTTCCACCATTGCCATGAATAATATAAGCAAAATTTCAGTTTTAATTTACAGCTGGTAAAGGGCTCTTGATCCACTGTTACCCTCTATGATTGTCTCAAAAAAAAAGTATTCAAGGGCCTAATATATTTCACTCGTTATTAAAGCTTTTAAAAAATAAATTTGACCTTATCTTGATACTGCACTCGCATGTGGATGCTGCTCCTCTACCAAAACTGTTGTTATACTTCACAGGAAAGCTATTTGTCTCACCAGTGCATTAGACATTGCATCTAATCTTGAGTCACATGTCTCCTGCCATAAAGTTTCATTATTTTTTTTTTCATTAATTCCATTGTTCTTGTGCTTTTGTTTCGAATGCTATAACAGAATGATGTACTTTTTTTTTTTCCATTTCCTAACTATTCCCTAGAACAAACAGCTATACTTCCTTGTGGGTTTAGGGCTTAGTTATGATTGTAATAATAATAAAAATACTTCCTTGTCTTCCCCTGACATCCTTTATCTTTTGTCATTCAAGAAGTTTCTGTTTTATCTTTTAGACAGTTGATATTTTGTAATTTTTTCACTAAGCCTTAATGAGTAGGTACCTTTATTACCATGACCTTTCTTGCACAAAAAAAAAAACTAACTCTGATTTTAGGTAATTTGGATAATTTTAACTTTTGAATAATTTATAAGAGCTAGACTAAATATATTAATAAAAGTGATGGTGTAAACAATAATGTATAAAAATTATACAGGTGCTCTGTCTTGTAATTTACCATTACTCTGGTAATGTTTTATAAAAACACTATATGGCTAATGCATTATATAGCTTTATATTTACAATGTTTAAATTATTTATTTATTTATTTATTTATTTAGTAATTTAAGCATACATACAGAGGTACAAAAAATTACAAAGGCAAAATGTAAATATTTACTCAGTAGTTAGGAAATTATCAGTACACTTATTACTTTGAATATTTAGCAGTACCCAGGTCATATCTTGTGGCCTAACTTGTTAATTTTAAATTCTTCAGCATTACTTATTAGTAACATTTGCATTTATGCCAGAGTAATTTTTGTTTGTTCCCACCTCTGTCTGTAACAGCACATTAGATTTATTACAATTTATGGTACTATTCAATAGTTGTTGATATTCAACAGATTGGCAAGTAAATTTACAATCACAATAAGCATATAATTCAGTGATCCAAATGGGGTTAAATCTTTTATATGAATATAATTAACACTTCAGTTTAATTTACAGTAGACAACAGTGGCCAAAAATGGTTTCAGTTCACATATAAAAACATGTTCTTAATTTTGAGACATGGGTTTCGAATCCAAGCTTAGCTCTGCTCCAACATACAGTTTCTGTAAAACAGAACCACAGTGATCACCAAGACAGCCATCATGGAGAATCATGGAAACCCAATGATCAGTTTGATGGCTGACTTCTGCTGAACACTGCTGTGGGAGAGCGATACTCAGCACAAGTAAAAAGTTTGAAAATTATGATGTAAGCATGGTTGTATAACTGCTCTGATTGCGGGTTCTATCCCCACCCATGGTATGGTTTGCATAGATATTTATTTTTGTTGTGCATATATAATTTTACTTTAAGTGAGATTAGATTTTATCATTGCATGCACAACACTTAATATCTGCATTATACAGTACCTACAATGGCTAGGTTCTTCAATATTAAATATCCAAAATATTGATCATAAATTAAAAAAAAAAAAAGTACATGATAAGCTCAGTTGTGATCAGCACATTAATGTTAGGTTAAAAGAACCAATTTGGTTTCTGAACCTGATAAAAAGTTCAATTTTGTTGGCTAGTGCAAATAACTAATACAGTGCATTACAGGAGTACTAAACTCTTGGTCATTTTGTGCCAGGGGAATAAAAAGTAACTAGGTTTGATCTGAGGATGGGAGGGGTAGCTCTAATTTCTAACACTAGGAACTCACATTTAAAAGAAAAGGCAAGATTAATTAATATAGACAATTTGCACGATTATCCTGACTATGGTAATGCTAGAATGTTTAAATGTATCTCCTTTCTTCAAAGGAGATTCCTTGATGCAATAAATTGGACATGTCCTTCCCTTGGACTGAGTCTGGTTGCCTTACATCCCCCCAGGCACTGTATGACCTCTGAGTAGCACTTTCCCCTCTTAAGTACAAAAATATAAAAATTTCCTGTTCATACTGAAATTCTGCATAATCTCCAACAGAGCATATAAATTTTTTTTTTATAATTTAATAAAGGATAAAAGGATGCTTCATAAGTAACTTTAAAACAAGCAGTGCTCTAATTTTCTCAAGAAAATTAATAAAATAAGAGTAACACTTGGGTATCTTTATTGCCTAAAGGTTTTGCCTACATAGCAGGATTCTTCAGTTGAATACAAGTGAATATGAAACTGGAGGCAGAAGTCATTTTAAGGTGATCAGTCCCTCTATCTGGTTTTATATTCACCTGTATTCCACTGAAGAACCCCTCAAAGGAGATTACTTGATGCTGGTGAGGTGCTCTTGATCTAGGGAATTGGATCTGTGCTCCAGTTCCCTGAATTGAGTCTGAATACCTTTAACCCCCCCAGCTGTTTAATCCTATGGGTTTAGTGCTCCTTCCTGATTATAATTATCCACTGAAGAAGCCTACTGTGTGGGTGAAATGCTTCAGCAATAATAATACCCAAGTGTTACATGTCTTATTCATCAAATTGTCAGTACTATATACCATTAATAATATATTTCTCAAAGCCATTCTCAGAATTTTCAATACACCAACTGCAGACTTTTTCTTTTGCATCTAGTGAATACAACATAATCTGTATTTTCATAAATACAATCTTAATTACATAAATATAACATATACAGTAGTGTACGTATGTATTTGCAGCCTGGAATTTTGCATCAATGTACTGCAAAATCATACTTGTGGTTACTTGGTTTTATGACTGCTAAAAGTAATGAAAATAATCAGTAGATTCTTGATTGTCTATATCACATATTTTCTTTCAACATAGTATAACAAGCAAAACTTGCTGAAATGTGTTTTATAATCAAAGTTATCTAAAATTTATTCAGCATATACCCATTAACATTGTCAAACTAATACAATAGTTATTAATGTAATAACAAATACCATTTTATCCCAGATGCTGTGCAGGGTTACTATTCTAACACTACTTTGCCTTATAATTCTACATAATATACAAGTTGTGTTAGCTTGTGTTAGTAGCACTGGTTGTGACCGGTCTAATGGGCAGTGGACTGAGTTTTTCATTTGTGTATCTGAAAATAAAAAAAAATTACTTATCACAATGAGGAATAAGACTACATTTGACTATTGTATACGAAACTGAAAAATTAACATAGTCCTGTTAAAAACGCATTAGCTTTCTTGATACCATTTTACTGCTTACACATACAACTAAGAAAAGTTAAACATACGATAAAGTCTCCTTACCTACCTGTGTAAACTGAGTTTCTCATCCATCTTATAGTAAGACATCATAAATAAAAGTACAGTGGGGTTTAGGTACTTTCACACCTTGGTCACCACAAAGGTTTTCAAATTTCTTTACCCACTCTGGTTCAAGCTCCTTATGGTATAAAGGACTGCGGTACTTGTTATAAAACTAATAATAAAATCAGTGGGCAATTTTTTATCCATTAAAGAGAATAGAAAATGGTGTGTGTGTATACATATAGGGTGAAGCCAGGTGCTAAATGGGAGCTAGGTGATGGCTGCATCCTGCATAGGTAGGACGTGTTTAGCAAGTACTTCCATAATCATAAAACTGTCTATTTTTTGAGCAATGGTGTTGGCAGTATTTATGAGAACATATTCTAAACACTGTCTACAATGTAGATTTGATACCTTGATGATAAGCCTGGCATATTAGAAAGCCACAAGTTAGTTGCAAGTGTTCTGTTGTAAGCTACCTTCACCATACACTGGAACACTCAAAATCATCTCATGGACTGCCAAAATGTCAGGCTTGTCTTCAAAGAATCAGACGCATGTTGCAGATGCTGTTTGGAATCGACTCTCTTCAATACTACCAACATCACTGGTCAAAACACAAGTAGCTTTATTTCAGAAATACTTGCCAAACACATCCTTCTTACACAGAAAACAGCTATCACCTAGCTCTGCCATCCCACTGTGTTTTTTTTTTTTACGCAACTCTCAATGTTTATCACCATTTGTAACTTCTGTGGGTATTACATGATGTATAGAAGCAAAAATCTTTACCTGTCTAACATTTTAAGAGAGGTGCCTTGATACTAGCGAAGGACTCTTGCCTTGAATCTTGTCTCGTTGTCTCCATTTCTCAAGGCACTGTATGCCCTCTATGGTTTTTGCCTCCCTTTCCCCATTCATGAAAAAAATTCACCTGTGAGCATTCCTATGAGTTTATTCTCAAGGTAAGCTTTTTAATGTCAGTCAGGGGATCTTGATAAAAGGAATTAGACTTGTCCTTTTATTTCTTGGATTGAACCTGATTGCCTCTCATTTCCTAAACCATTACAGGTTTAGCACTACCCTTTAAAAGTAATAATGCACGATTCCCACAGGCTGAGCATTACCCATTAATGTAATAATCAAACATGTGCATTATCATAAAACATACTTTATTAAACATCCAATCATATAGCCATATTTACCCTTAACTTTACAGTAAATGTGCAAATAATCTAAAATATATATATAAAAAATGTAGTGGTAAAATAGATTACATAAAAAAATGATTTTGATAGCTCTTATGCACTCTTAAACTTATCATCTGAACAGTACTCAAAAGAATAAAGCAGTTAATGAAACTGGGCCCAATATGAAATAAAAAAAAAGAGATACACTGGAGATTTTGCACAAAAAAAATCATCTATCAAAGAGAAAAATATATTTTATAGAAGTGTGTACAGTACATACTTTCCTTTATAAACTTACCGAGTAACAAAATTGTGGACGGTGGCAGTCGAGACCTCGACACCCTCCTCTAACAAAAATTTAGCGCCATCTGACAAATCGAGGATGGCTACTAGAGGGACTACATCCTCCAGGCATGCAAAATCTCTTACACTGTCAGCCACTTCATCCTGCAATAAGAGAAGCAAATGTCTTTACATGACCAGACAACATTTTTGAATTGGATACTTCATATTGTTTTCAATATTGTTACTGTACCACATCTAAATGAAAATATCTTCAATGACTCATCTTTCTTACATTCGATGACTTATTACTACCGTACAGTATTAATTATATACTTTCTTTTTTTTGTAACAGTGGTCATCACCTGCCAAGGCAGGATGACCCAAAAACAAAAACACATTCATCATCATTCATTAAATCAGTCTTACTGAAAGTGTGTTGACATCACAGTTCAGATTACCCTTAGACCGTAACATCCCCCCCGTCTCCTCCAAGCCAGGTTCAGCTAATGGTTTCCCCGAATCAATTTATAAATGTTACCATGCTCTCATTCTGACAGAAAAATTCGGGGCTTTAAAAACCTTTTGACTGTCGCGGTGTATATATACTTTTTTAAAAAAGGGTCCCGGGTTTTTTGGGACGTACATATACTCATAAATTTAGCGGTTTCAAATCAACGGGGGAGAAAGCGGGGTTTGGCCCCCCCCGGGGGGGAATTTTGGGGTTTCTGTGGGGGTCAGGGGGCACCATATAAAAAAAATCTGGAGCACCCCAGTTCCCAATAATGGAGAAAAAAAAAACTCAGGGGTTTTTTTTTTTTAATTAAACCCTTTTGGGGTCGACGGCCCTCTCCAAAAACTCGTTTTTTCGGGTGGGCCCAAAATTTTTAAAAAAAAAAAAATTATTTTTTCTTATGAAAAAATAGAGTATTTTTTTTTTTAAAAACATTTTAGGAAAAACAAAAAATTTTTTTTAAACGTAATACTTACCGGAAAATGGGGGTTTTAAAATTTTGCAAAATTTTGAAAAAACATTGGAAACCCATCCCCGCTGCCTTTTAAACCCGGTTTTTTTTCTATTTCTTTTTTTTTGTCCCTGTTTCAATTTTTTTTCAAATTTTTCTTTTTCTGATTTAACTTTTAGGGCCCTCTGAGGAAAAATGATCAGTAATTTTAAGTTATTTCTTTTTTAAAAATAATACACATAAGGGTTTTAAACACGGGTTGCATTATTTTTTTTAAAGAAAATATTTACAAAAAACCCAAAAATTATGAAAGGGTTTGTTTATTACTATTTTTTCTATTTTTTATTTTAACTTTATACAGTCACAGGATTTTTTTTAATTTCTGAAACCCTGTGGAATTTCCTTTAAAAACTTTTTGGGGGGTTTTGTCGGGGGGTTTTTTTGACTCCTCCACATTTAAAAACCCGGTTTTCTTGCGTTGTCGGGGGCCCGTTTTTTTTTTTTTGTAAAACAGAGTAACCCTCTTTTTTGACCCCTTTTTCTTCAAAGCAGAGACCCGGGCATTTTTTCCCCGGGAAATTTGTTAAAACCTTGGCTTCAGACGGCAGGTAGTTGTTGATAAATTTGGTGGGGGGTTTCAATTGCGGGTGCTTTTCCTTGGTATTGAAATACTATTTGTCTGTGGACAGAAAAACGAATTCGCCGAAATTGGTTTGTTTCTGGTGTTCATCTTTTAATATTATAACCCTTTGACCCATGGAAATGCCCAGGAAAGAGGGGAAAAAAAAAGTTTAAAGGTACCCTTAAAAAATTTTTGACCCAACAAAATTAAAGCAAACCCAATTTGCATGTCCCCTTTTGTCCTTTTGAACGCTTGTTGAAGGTGTAATAAAATTAAACTCCCGGTTTTTTTAAAATTTGGGTTTTCATTTCTCTCTCTATGCGGGCTGCCACGGTCTGCCTTTTCCCTTTGGGGGTGAAAATTTAAACAAACAAACTTGTGACATCTGGGGCGCACCGGCCAAAGAAAAATGCCATGATGTTTTGGGCAGAAAAAAGTCCCCACCTCCCCTCTGCGAGTGCCAGTTTAAAACAGGGGGCATATGTTTTCGATTTTGCCACACTGTGCCCAAAAACATTGTATGTTCACTCGCAAAAAAATTCACTGAGTGGGGGGTTGGTTGTACCAGTTATCTTGTATAAAATTATATCCCCCTTTCCCCAAGGTATGGTTCTTTCATTGTTCAAAACCACATCACCTGGGTTTCCCCCAATAAACTTCCTGGTTTTTTGGGGAAATTGTAAAAACTTCCCGTGTAAAACAAAAATATTAAAAACCCAGCCCACTGTAACAATCACAAAGCACAAAAAACTTTTATACCCCAAGGGGGTTTCCTTTTGGGCTTTTTATTATTTGTTAAAAGAGAGTTTCCTTTAAACAGAATCAAAGCCTCGTCTACCCCCGGCTTCCTGGAAGGGATTAAAAATGGGAGTACTGAAATTTGTTTCAGATAAAAAAAAACATTTTTTCCTAATCTTTAATAACCTGTTCTTTTGTAAGAACTGGTTTTATCGGGAAAAAGTAAAGCCGTAACTTTTTGCAAAAATCGATTCACTGGCATTATATCATTTGAAACTGGTTTTTGCCCCAGGGGGTCTGTTAAACCAGTTTGATTTCCCCTTTGTCTTTTTAAACATGTGGCAAAAAGCATTTTTGGGGGCAAAGAAAAGAACACTCTCGCCAAATTGCCCCTTTCCCTTTGGGTTTTGTAAAACTTTGGATTTTGGTGAAAAGTATTGTGTTTGCCATTGGTTTTCTCTAGTATGTGTTGCTTTCCATGACAATACTTTTCATCTTTTTTTTGTAAATGAAAAACTCCAAAACATTTCCAGTTCGGGGTGGCATTTTTCCCCCAAGTGCCCCCAAGAGGGCCCCGTATTCCATTTTGGGGCTCCCAAACCCAAACTGGTGGGGATTTGGAACAAAATTGACAGCTTCCTCCCCAATCCCGGTCCCGGTCTGCTGGGGGTATGGAAAATTGAAAAGGTGGTTGGGGTTTTTGTGGGGGGTTGTGGTTGTGGAGGTTGGTGTGGTGGGGGAGTGGGGGAGGTGGCCTTTGTTTAGTTCGTTTCCTGGGCCCAGCGGCGTGGCTGGCAGCATGGGCTGGGCACCATGGCCCTACCGGTTGCCTCTACCCCCGGCACCATTTCCAAACGCAAAATTTTTTCCTTTCCCAATTGCAAAAAAAGTATCTTCGCCCATTTTAAACTGTCTGTTCCTGTTTTTACAGCCACGGGTTGAAACCCCGGAGATACACCCCTTTCCCCTTGGATTTTTTTAATTGGGGGCAATTCCAGACCCATATATCGTCGTTTATACCTGACGCTTCATGGGGAATATTGCCCTTCACAAATCACAAACTGGAACTATTTTGAAGAGCTTTTTTATATATTAACTATCACTATCTTCCCCCCCATCCCTCTCACTGAGTCTGGGTTTTGGGGGAAAATTTGAAGTTTCCTTTTTTGGTTCGGGAAACAACTGAACATAAACCGAGGGGGCCAGAAACCGAGGTGGAAGGCTGAGGGTTCGTCTGGGGGGTTTTCTTCCCCCTTTTTACCCGATATTAGGGTTTATTAGTTTCGGTAAAAACCTAACAAAAAACCAGAAAACTCATCTTCACTGGCACTTCCACCCTTTTTTAGAACTGTCACGGGGGAAACCCAAAAAGGGGCCCAATTCGGAGGGTGAGGGCTTCTTACCGCCAAGGCTTTGGTGGACTTTTGTTTACTAAGAGGGCATTCCCACAATGCACCCACGGGGGCCCCGATTTTTTTTCAAACCGCGGCACCTGGACCCGCGGACCCATTTTTTCTCACCCTTTTAGGTATAAAGTTTTTCCGAAGCCGAGGAGATTTGAGGGCCCCCCAAAATTTTTATGCGTACATTTCGCCCAAAAACCCCCCTACGCTTTAAGACGTCCTATTTACGACGAAAACCCCCAAAGGGGTTTAAAAAAATCCCGACTTGTGGTTATTTTCGTATATTTTTTAAATTGTTGTATTTGGGTTTTTCTTGGTCTCATTTGGGATAGAATGGAAAAAAATTTCACAAAAATTGAGGTGTTTTTGATTGTTTTTACTTTTAAAAAAAAAACTAAAAAAATGGACCCTCAAATTTTAGGGAAAATTTGTTTGTTTTTTTGCCCAATGTTAAAAAGAAAACCCAAAATGAGCCATTTTTAAATTAAAGGGCCCCCAAAACTACCCATTTCAAATTGAGTTTTGGAATGGGTTTGTTTTATTTTATACATTTATTACAGAAATTGCAGTAGTCTGCATAATAGTAAGTCAATTTTTTTGGGTTTGAAAAAAATTTTTTAAAATAGAAAGCAAGATTTAAATTTTGAGGGGCCTGGAGACTTTGACTGTTGAACAAAGGAAATTTTTTATTTTAGAGCCGGGAATTTTGGAAATTTTTTAATTCCGGGAAACCTTTTTTTGGGAAATTTGGGCCCTTATTTTTTATTTTTTTTGAAATTGGCCAAATTGCAAATTTCTGACCACATTTTTTAGGTATTTTGAAATCAGTAAATGGGCAGTTTCTTGTTTTAAAACGATAGAAAAAAAGGAAGTTCTAAAAAAATTTTAGCTATGATTTTGGGGGACTGGAACAAGGGAAATTAGCCGAAAATGGGGCCTAACGGGGCGAAAATCGCCGATTTGAAAAACCCCAGCCCCGGGGGAAATCGCTAACTTCGCCGGCCCGAGCAAAATTTCCCTTTCCTTTTTCCCTTTAAAATTTTTCGTTTTTTTTTTTTGGTTTTCATTACAATGGGGAAAAGATTTCTTTTAATTTCATAAGAAAAAAAAATTTTTTTTTTTTTTTTTAAAATTTTTGGCAAACACCAGGAGACCCCTTTCCAGGATTGGGGGTTGGGGACAGCCCAAAAGGGTTTTAAAAAATCATTTGTCCCCATCCTTCTAATACATTTAAAAGTTTCTTTCCCCCTTTCCCTTTCCCAAAACCTTTCCGGGGTGACCATTCCCCTCTATTTCCCTTTCCCAAACCCCAGTTTTTTTCCTTTTTTCCCATCATTTATCCCTTTTTGATGAATTTTTGGGGAAAAACTGACTTTTTGAGTTGAGAACTTATGCAAAAATTTGGGGGAAATCTTTTTTCCCAGGAAAGGGTTTTGCCAAAACAGTGGCTTCAAATCATTTAAATTTAAAAAATTTAAAAGGGCGAATGAGAAGGAGTTTGAGGGATGATTCCCTAAGGAAAATAGAAGCAGAAATTTAAGGGGAGGGGGAAGGTTCATTTACTAGAGGAGGGGGCCGTTAGGGTAGATAAAAAAACCCTATTTGGGGGTTTTTGGGGTTAGGGGTTGGTGGGGAAATTGGAAAATGGGGTAAAAAGATGTGTGGGGTAGGTTTAAAATGTAGTGTTTGGGTTTTTCGCAAAAGTTTGGTTTAAAAGGGAAAAGTGATGTGGGGGGGGAAAAGGGAAGGCGATTGGTGAAACATCTTATTTAAAATAGAGTAGAAAGGGAGAAAAAGTTTAGCATATGAGATGTTTTTGCAAAGTAGAAGTGATGAATGGAGGGGGGAAATTTATTTAAAGAGAAAAGAGGGGTTAAGAGATTGGGGAGGAAATTTTTAAAAAGGAGGCAAAATTGGAGGTGGGTGGGATTTTATAAACCCAAATTATTTTTGAGAATAAAAAAAATTTTTTTTAGAAATGAGATTAAAATAAGGAAGTTTGGGAACAAAGGGAAACTTGTTTAGTTAAAAAGGAGAGGAGGTTTTTAAAAATGGAGGTTAGAGGTTTTGGGAAAGATGGAGGGAATTTTTTTGAGGAATTGGTAAAGGGTTGATAAAAGATGGGTTTTCCCTGTGTTTTTTTTGTATAGGTCAAAGGGGGGAATAACCCCCTTGTAGGAGGGGAAGAGAGGTTGGGGTTGGGGGGAAAAAGTTCGTGAGGCAGTGGGCCCCGAATGAAAAGCGGTAAGGCAGCAAGGTTTTGAGGGGGATAAAGTTTTGAAAAATTTTAAAAACCCCATGGGGGATTTATTTTTGGAGGGGCCCAGGTTGGTTTGGGGTCCCTTTTTTTTAAATTAAATTTGTATGGAGAGGGTCCCAGTCCCGGGGGGATTGGAAAGAGGGGATGCATAGTTTCTCTACAAAAAGGCAAAAGGGAAACAAAAGAGAGTAAAAAAAATTTTTAAAAGGGGAAAAAGGGTCTGTTGAGTAAAAAATGGAAAAGTGCATGGTAGGGGGATTACCGAAAAAAGGGAAAGGAAAAAAGACAGAGAAAAAGGTTTAGCAGAGGGAACAAGGGGGTTTTTGGGAAAGGGTAGGGGGTGTGTAGACCAAGTGTTTAAAAGTGAAACAAAATAGGGGGGAACAGTTTTTAGATAAAGGTAAAGAGGTTTTTGTGGATTTAGGGGTTTGGAAAAGGAATAGGGAAGATGTTGCACTTTGTAGGGAATTTGGAGGTAGGTTCCCAAAGGGTATTTTGAAGAGTTTTTTTTAAAAATAGTGAGGCTCAGGTTAGGTTGTAGGAGCCGGGAGGTTATTTCCCAGAAAATTTTTAAGGTTTTAGACAAGGTTTGTGTGATGTCCCCAGGGGTTGTTCAAATTAATATTTATTGTTTGGGGGGTTGAAAAGGAATTTAAATTCCCGGGGTTTTGGGGAAAAGAAGGTGGGGTTAAAAGATAAAGGAAAACCCAACACAAAATGGGAGTTGTCACAGTTGCTCTTTTTCTGATGACACTGTGCTTTTGGGGAGAGTCTGAGATTCTGAAAAAAGTTGCAGAGGTTTAGGGTGAGTTTCGGTGAGCTTTTTCAAAGAAAAAAATTAAAGTGTATATAGGAGGTAAGGCGGAATTTACGGATGGGCAAAAAAAATTAAGGGGGGACAATTTGATTGGATAAAAGATTTTGAGGGGGAACCCCCCCAATTTTGGGGAGGCGAATTTTGTTAAGTATATAGGAAATAGATGTTTTTAAACAAAAAGGGGGCTATGAAAGATGGGTGAACACAGAATTTTATGAGGGAAAAAAAAGGGAAGTGGTACAAATTAAGGGGGTTTTTGGAGACAAAGAAAATTTTTACCCCT